TTTTTTTTTTTTTTTTTTTTTTTTTTTTTTTTTTTTTTTTGGTTTTGGTTTTGGGGGAGAATCTTGCTATGTAATTTAGACTAGCTTTGAACTTACCAGGTATATCTGACTATTCTGGAACTTATGATCTTCCTGCCTCCCCCTCCCAAGTTCAGGGATTATAGGCTATGCCATCACACCTGGTCCATAAAAATGCTTACAGTTTTCTATGCTTGAGCATTGTTTATTTCTCCTTATACAAACTTCTAGGGATTTAACTTTTGAAATATGATTATAAATCATACAAAAACTCATTCATTTTGTGAAGCTGGGGAGGTGACCCAGCAGCTAGGAAGGTGCACTGCTCTGCAGAGAGCTTGAGTTTGGTTCTCAGCACCCACATTAGATAGTTTATAACCACCTGTCACTCTGGCTCCAGGGTATCCAACTTCCTCCTGCACCTGCACCTACATGCACATACCCCACACAGAGACACACACATATAATTAAAATATCTAAATCTTTTTTTTTTTTTTAAAAAAAACTTACTTTTCTAAATGTTGCTAGTATGAAGAAATACAGTTAGGGCTGGTGTTGTAGAATATTTTCCTAGTATGTGCAAAGCCCTGGGTTCCCCCAGCAGCTCCCTAACTATGGGGGCATACTACCAATTTTATACAGACCTTTTCAAATCAACAACCAACCTTGTTAAATTCACGTATTGATTCTAATGGCTGGTATTTTTTTTATTTTCTATGCATATATTATCTGGACAAATGATATTTTATTTCTTCCTTTTCTGTTTCTTTTCCCTTTCTGCCTCATCCCTGAAGTGACTTCCAGGGTAATGTTGAAGAGACTCTGCGACAACTGATACATTTTCTCGTCCTCAACGTTGGGCTTCCAACATGTCATCAATGGTATACTTGTTGTACGTTTTCCACAGATTTTAAAAGGCAAAAACTCTAGCTCACACTTGCTCAGACAAGGGCTAACGCTGTCTTCTCTGCGCCTCTCAGAATAGTCATGGTGTCCTCATTCATGCAGTGGACTTAGGGAGGGAAACAAACCGAAGAGCAGCCTCCTAGCAGAGAAGACCTGGATCCCTGCTCATGGCCTGCAGAGCGAAGTGCTTGTTGTTCCCTGGGAGTCAAGAACACAGAGCTGACCCTAATCATCGAAGACACCCGCGCCATGTTCTTTCAAACACTCAGCAATGTCACCAGAGTTGACATGGCTTTGATTTGCATACCTCATTCTGCCACAAGGACATCCAGTCAGCCAAGAAATCCCAGTAGAATAAATGAAAACAAAGCAAAGATCCATTTCCCCAGGGAGAAAAAGTCTCGCCACTCAGACAGAAGTCTCCAGGAATATTTCACCAAACCAGGGAAGCTGGGCCTAGCATCCTGACTACTGGTCTTGGTACTGTGGTCTGATACCTGACATCTCAAGGAGGAAGGTATTTGGGGGATCACAGTTTGAGGGGACACAGTTTATCACAGCAGGCATGGTAGTAGGAGTGTTGAGGTGGTTGGTCACCTCGTGTCCACAGTCAGAAGCAGAGACAGGAAATGGGACTCAGATAAGCCCATCCAAGTGATTCATATCCTCCAGGTAGGTCCCACTCTGCGGCTAGCGCACAGCTAGAGACCAAGTGTTCAAACACAGGAGTCCATGGGAGACATTGCACACTCAGAACACACTTGACCTGTGAAGCCTGACAGCCTGTGAGCCTCGTCACAGCTGAGTGCACTTGGGCTTAACTTTGTTGTGGCGGGAAAATGGAGAAGTAGCCACATGAGAGGGTTTTGTGAGGCTGGGCATGGTGGCACACACCTTTAATACTGGCACTAGGAGGCACAGACAGGCAGAGTTCAAGGCCAGCCTAGTCTACATAGAGAGAAACAAAGGAGCGGAGAGTCTTGTGAGGATTGACAGAGATAAAAAGAGTGAGATGCCAAAAGCAACAAACACTCAGTTCATTGCCAATGTTCAGTAAAGAGTTGCTTGTATTTTGCTCAAGACCACACTATGCTTCCTTCCATTCAGAGAAAGAGTGTGTGTGGCAAAGTTCCAGATGAGCCTAGAAGGCCACTTAGAAGTATGTTTATAGTCTCCACATAAAACAGCAATTTACAAAGAAGAGGAAATTATCAATGGTATATTTAAAGATTTATTTTATTTTAATTATGTGTATGCTTAAGGGTGGGGGGGGGGACATGAAGATGCCCGTGGAGGCCAGAAGAGGGTTCTGGATTCCCTGAAGCCGGAGTTACAGTCTGTTGTGAGCTGTCCAGTGTGGGTGCTAGAAACAGAACTGGGACCTTTGCAAAAGCAGTTTCCACTCTTACCTACTGAGCTGTGTTCCAGCACCGCCCTCCCCAAAAGACCAGAGGACACCCCACTATCTGTTTGTTTAGGGACAGGGTTTCAAGTATAACCCTGGCTGGCCTGAAACTCACAGAGATACACCTGATCCTCCCTGGATTAAGATCATGGCCACCACGCCTGGCACTAAACTTTTAGGGTAGTCAATAAGGAAGACGGTCATGTCTCCCAAACACCTGCCATGCACTTTACAGACTACATTGAGAACATCTATATTAGCAGCTGTAAGACACTGACTATAAATCGTTTTGTTTTACAATAGAAAATACAGACGGGTAAGAAGCATCTCCCTGTCCCAGGCTCTGCTGTGGCCTTTCAAGATGACAAAGGCACAGGCCCTATTAAGGCTAAATGTGGGTCAAGTTTATACTCCAGACAGTCTTGACTGTCAGCTTACCTGGATCTAGATTCACCGAGGAGGAACCTCTGGGCACATCTGTCAGGGACTAGAGAGGTATGACTGAGGTGAGAAGTCCCAACTTGAATGTGGGCAGTGCCATCCCAGGGGCTGGACTGAATAGGGAGGAAAAAGAGAGCCGGGCACCAGCATCCATCGTGTCTGTGTCCTGACTACAGATGCCACGTGACCAGCCTCCTCAGGCTCCTGACAGCATGCCTTGCCCTGCCACGGCAGACTCTTTTGAAACTGTGACCCAGAACAAGCCCTTGCTTCCTTAGTTAGCAACGAGAACAATCGCTAAAACAACATTCATCCTGGGAGGAAATGCTCCACATGGCTTCAGCCTGGTGCAAACCCAAGTTGCTTGCAGGGAAGGCCAAAGCAGGTACACAAAATCCCCCCACCCCGCCTCCAACCTCCGCTGCCGCTGCAGGGGAAGCTGAAGCTGGTAGGCTTCAGAACCCCACCCCCGCCCGCTGCTTGGCCTGCTGGGGAGCGGGAAGCAAAGGGCTCTACCTTCGATGCTGCGGATGTCCTTCCGCCACAGCTCCAGGTGGGTGGTCATCTCACGGGCTTTCTCTAGGAACCTCTTCCAGGACTTGCTGCTGTACCGTTTCCACTGGTCCCACTCCGATAAATACTTCATCTGGGTTTCCTGAATGTCCCTGCATCATGAGCGGGACAACAAGGCAGCACTGAGTCTAAGCTTCCACGACACCCTGGATGGGAGCCCATGGTCATAACTTTGGAATATTAGCCATAACAAAGGGTGAGGGGCTGACATATGCTCCAGTGTGAATGCACCTTGAAAGCATGACACAAAGTGGGGAAAACATATTCCATGCACATACAAACCCAGAGACAGCAGGTGCCTGGCTGCCTGGGCCGAAGGAGGAGGAATGGAGTGCTTTTGTAATGCATACAGAGTTTCCAGCTGCAGAGATAAAGCACTTTTGGAGGTAGCTGGTGGTGATGGACACACAGCATTGCCAACAGGCTCAGTACCAATGAATTATAAGCTGTCAATCACAAATGGGTACTGTGTGCTCAGTACAATGGCCTGATGCTGCCATTCCTGACTCTTGCCCCACCCTACCAGTTGATCAAATTCTCCTAGTTTACCTCCAGGATACCCCTTCCTTTGATGACACATCTTCTCCAATTAATGTCCGTCTCTCCCAAAACAGGTGGTGGTTTTGTTTGTTGCTGAGACACAGTCTCATGATATGCTCTGACTGGCCTGGAACTTGTTATGCTGACCAGGCTGGCCTTGAAATCAGAGAGATTCATCCACCTGCCTCTGCCTCCCAAGTGCTGGGATTAAAGGTGTACATCACCAAGCCCAGCCTGATGCCACGGGCTCTTTAAAGGCTGAGAATGTAGAACATTTGTCTCTGTGGTCCTCTGCCCCAGGAACACAGACTATTGTTTCCAAGACAGCTCTGGGCAGGCCAGGTTTGCTTTGCTCTCCTCTCCATCTTAGGCACTGTAGCTGGTGTTTAATCCATTCTTTTTTTTTTTTTTTTTTTTGGT